TTTTTTTTGTCTTTTTACGCCCCCACCGCGGGTGCCCCCCCCCCCCCCCCCTTAGCTGTTCGTTGCAGATGGACCAGAAAAAAAGGCCAAGGGGACCAGCAGATTTGTTTTTGTTTTTTATGACTGCTGCAGCCAGCCCCTTCATTACAGATTGCTGCAGATAGAAAGGCAAAGGGAGCCAGTAGAGAAAAACATACTACTACTCAAACTTTCTTACACACATAAGCACACATTTGTTCCACCTATCCCCATTTCCAGACTGGACATTACACAGTTCTCACTGTTACCTCTTCTGCCCCCCACCCTGTCACCATTCTACAATTCTTCCTATCACCACTAGAGATGGGTATTCAGTAAACCTAATTTTGTGGCTAAATTGCTAATTTTACATTTGGCAACAATTACTTTGAATTTAGCCCATGCCTACTTGCCCACCATCATACCCTCCATGCTCCAGTTCAGCACATGCCCACTGTCATAACTCCAGCACTCCCCTCCAGCACATACCCTTCACACTCCTCCTGCACATACTGCCTGCTGTCATATCCTCTGCACTCCCCCTCCTGCTCATACTGTCCTGTTATACCCTCTGTGGTCCTCTTCCGCACACACTATTCCCTGTAATACACATGCTTCACTCCTTTACCTGTCTCCCACTCATGCCAACCGCTATCATAAACGCTGCACTTTTACGCTTGTACATACTGCCCACTGTAACACCCTCTGCATGCCTCTCCTATACACATTACCTATACTCATACTCTCCAAAAAACTGTTCTTTAACATTGTTTAAAATAGCCACAACCCTTTCCATTCTGGAAGAGATGGACTATGGCAAGTATCGTCATTCTAAAGGTGGCTTAAAGCTAAAAAAGTTTGTTTATATGGATACCTCTAAACTAACACTGGATGAAAGAGGCCAGATGTGTTACCTATTCTTGTAAAACAGCGTTTACAAAATCAAGAATGCTTCCCCTTTTATCAATATTTTATGGGGGGGTTTTTTTTGAGATGGCCCTCAACCAAAACTGTTGGGCTGATCAAATGCTAGATTACTCATACGCTTTCCTCTTGCAATATAGCTCAGCGGTGAACTCTGTTTCTCAAAGAGAAAGCTTTCATGCCACCAGATATTGATGCATAAGCTAAAAATAGCCAAAGAGGCAGCAACTCTTTTATGATGACTGTCCATATCATAAAGATGATGTTAGACTTATAGAAGAAAGAAGCCTAGTTCAACTGAACCTAAAGAACAAGGCTGAGGAGCTGCATGACACGACTGGATGACTGAGACAACAGGATAAAATAAACCTGTCTGGAAGGAACCACATTGTGGGATGCCCAATGAAAGGCTACCTGTAGTAGTTCCTGGAGCAGATGGAGCAGACGCTAGGATTCTATAGCCTTGCTGTTAAACCACAAACTAGGTCTTGCAGTATGCCCTGTGGGGAAGAGGTCTAAATTGTAAAGTAAATGTTCTTTATCAGGGCATTTACAATCTCTGTATTGGCCCAAGTGGACCATCCCAGTGATTTTTGGGGGTCAGGTAATACCAGGAGCTTTTCCCTTCTGCTGGAGGACTGATCCCTTCATCCGACGATGTAGATCCATATCAATCACAATGGGCGATGGTCGCCGACTCGCCGAAAGAAAAAATTCCTGATGCCCGGCGACGCGCGATCCTGATGAACACAGGCTGCAAAATGACAGCTCTGCTCCCGAATGTCAACAAAGGGGCAGAGCGAGTTGTGATGTCACAGGATTAGTTATGCCCATTTGTTTACATTCTGTGACAGCTCTCGTCCCCTAATGGAATGTAAACAAATGGGCAGTCCCGTGATGTCACGACTCACTCCACCCCTTTGCTAACATTGGGTGTCTTTTTTGCAGCTGGTGTTCATCAGGATCAGACGTGTCGGCAGGTGTCGGGAATTTTTTCTTTCAGCGAGTCGGTGGCTGTCGTCCATCATGATTGATGTGGATCTACCTCGCTGGACGATGTGATTGATGTGTGGATTACAATGATAAACATTTTTTGTAATTCTTTATTTAACCACTCACAAAGACAGATGGAGGATCAGGATAACAAAATATGAAAATCGTTCCAACATAATAAATGTAGCATATCAAAAAAGAGAGAAGGAGCAAGAAACATTAATGGGGAAAGGAAGCAAGAGTGCAGAATAAACAGACCCAAAATACGAAGAGTAAATTAAAAAAATAATAATAACCAGGCCGAGAAATAACCAAATAGGGAAAATAAAACATAAACCTAGACAAATGAGACAGGGAGG